GTAATGAGATGCAACCATTTTAAAGCGCTGCATTACATTTCACTATTTCACTGCACTTTCCTACAAGATTTACATAATCTTTTTTTGTAATCATAGACAAGGCTAAAATGCATATGATGTTCGGAATGAAGCAGAGTATTAGGTTTTATATCTAAAAGTGTAAGCAGAGCCGTCCCTAGGGTATGGCAACCGGTTCACCTTACCTTCCCCAATACTTTTACTTTTTAGTTCTATCCTCTTCACCACTGATCGCCTCGTTAACCGCTTGGGCGGTCGGTCACGTCTCTGTTATGCACTGAGCATGCGCCCAGTGTTGGTCAAGTCTTGTCTTGAAAGAACTCACAAGCGGTGCCGTCACAACGCTCTCTGGCAGGTTGTTCCAAGAGTTCACAACTCTCACTCCGAAAAAGTTACCCCTCACAGTTTTCTGGGCTTGGGGCTTCTTCAACCTTGAGCTGTGACCCCTTGTGGGGCGAGCCTCCGCCAGCTCCAGGTATGTATGTTCGACCGAGTGCTGTCCTCTTGAGATGTTTATAAACTTCAATTGGGTCCCCCTTGCCCATCTGTAGTATAAGCTGGGCAGATGCAGGTGCTCTAATCTCTGGATAACTGAGATGCCGGAGTGCAGTCACCAGTCTGGTGGCCCTCCTTTGGACATTTTCTATCAACTGACAGTCACTCGCTTATCGCTAATCTCGGGGACCAGACGGGGTGACGGACGGTACTCCAGAGGGGGAAGCACCTTACTCTTTAAGATCGTTACGAGGGACAGACTGTCTAGTCACAAGACTAGCGAGGTCATCTTAAAATTATATCTAGCGCTTGAGACCTCACCTGGATTACGCAGTTCAGTTCTGGTCACCGTTTTACAGAATGGATATAGAATCCTTGGAAAGAATCCAGAGGAGAATGACAAGACTAATCCCGGGCATTAGGAACCTTGAGTACAGAGACAGATTAAAGCTCCTGCTTAACACAATTGCTCAAGGTATTGGATATTTGGACCCATATTCTCGAATGGGGTGGTAATATCGACAATATTTACCTAGATTTTGCCAAGGCTTTCGACAGTGTACCCCATGAAAGGCTGAAAATCAAACTGGAAGGGTACGGAATTCGGGAAATGTCCTTGCATGGATAGAAGACTTTCTACATGACCGCAAGCAGTGTGTGGTGATTAATGGCACGAAATCGTCATCCGTACCTGTCACAAGTTGTGTACCACAGGGCAGTGTATGGGGCCCGCTGTTCTTTGTTTGTTTCAATAATGACATGCCTGACGTTGTCCACTCCTCCATACAAATGTTTGCCGATGACGCTAAGTTATTTCGGGAAATTAAGAATCAAGCAGACTGTGAAGAGCTGCAGAAGGACCTCTGTGGGCTCCAGGAATGGTCAAAGGAATGGCTGCTGAGATTCAATGTCACGAAGTGTAAGAGGATGCACCTGGGGCGTACCAACGGTAAGGAGGCGTATCATATGTCCCAACGGGATGAAGAAACTGCACTAGTTGAGACTGAATATGAGAAGAACCTAGGTGTGTATGTTGACGATGAGCTGAAGTTCTCAGGCCATTGCGAGAAGAAGGTAAACCAGGCAAATAAATTATTGGGTCTTATAAGAAGGTCGTTCAGATATCTAGACGGTCCGTCCCTCGTAACTATCTTCAAGAGTGAAGTGCTTCCCCATCTGGAGTACTGTCACCCCGTCTGGTCCCCGAGATATGCTAGGGACTGTCAGTTGGTTAAAAATGTTCAAAGGAGGGCCACCAGACTGGTGCTTGCACTTCGGCACCTCAGCTACCCTGAAAGATTAGAGCGCCTGAGCTTGCCTAGCTTATATTACAGATGGGCAAGGGGTGACCTAGTTTAGGTGTATTAGCATCTCAAGGGGCACTATTCAGTCGAGTGTCCTTACTTGGGGCTGGCGGACCCTTGCCCCATAAGGGGTCACAGCTCAAGATTGAAGAAGCCGTAAGTCCTGAAAGCTGTGAGGGCAAACTTTTTCGGAGTGAGGGTTGTAAACTCTTGGAACAATCTACCAGAGAGTGTTGTGACGGTACCGAGTGTGAGCTCCTTCAAGACAAGACATGACCAAACTGGAGTGAGTTCAGGTACATTCAGGAGCCGGTGCATGCCCAGTATTTGCCAACAGTGCGTGACAGAGACGTGACCGATCGCCTGGGCGGCTAACGAGCCGATCAGTGGCGAAGAGGATAAAAAAAAATCACTTGTGTGGGTGTTGGGGTACTGAGTCCAGCAACCTGCAACCTTCACTGTGCAGTAATAGAGGACAGTTTTCCCATTACCGGATCTTACCGGCCGAGTTCCTGAATTATATAAACCAGTGTTTTCCAGAACATTGGTTTAGTAAGGGAGGAGCTCTTGTGTTTGCCCGTCCTAAACCCATTTTAACACTTGTGGCTTTTTGAGAACGCACGTGTACCTTAACTAACCAAAACACTTGGAAGAACATGAAACACTGGATATGGGAAGCTACCTCAGTCATCCCCATTGCTGTGTTCGAAAATGTCTTCCCAGAGTTTGAATGCAGAATTAGATTGTTCATAATTGGTTGAAGACATTTTAAAATTTATTAATTAATAAAACTCAAGCTAACAACCCTACTACAGTACTGCACTTGTACAGTACAGGTGCTCCCTGACTTACGACGGGGTTAGGGACCCAAATCCAGGTCGCAAGTCTCTGTCATGTTTCACTGAAATCTTTTTGGGGGGTGCAGGTTCTTCTTCTACATTTTGTCTCTTCTTCCTCTGCAATTTTCTGTGCATCTAGTTCAATAAGATCCTCGTTACTGAGCTCTTCTGCTACACTTTCAACCAACTGTCCAACATCTTCATAATCAATTTCTAACTCCAGCTGTTTACCTAACTCCACTATCTTGTTACTAATATCCGAAATAACTTCATTTTCATTAAATCCTTTGAAACTGTTCACATATCTTTTCAGGATTTTCTTCCATATTCCATTCATGCAATGTTTTGTAACCTGATCCCATGCTGCACTAATGTTCTTTATACATGACAAAACGTGGTACTCCTTCCAAAACTCTGAGCGTTTTCTCACCTTCAGTAGCAGCAACAGCCTGAGCGAAGGTCGTGCGTAAATAATACGCTTTAAAGACAGCAATAGCACCTTGATCCATGGGTTGGATGATAGAGGTAGTGTTAGGTGGAATGTACACTACCTTAACATCAGGGTGCATGTCGTCCAGGTGTGGTGGGTGTCCCAGAGCATTATCCAAAATCAGCAAAATCTTGAATGGAATCCGTTGTTGCAAACAATACTCCTTGGCTCGTGGAATGAAACGAGTCATGATCCAATCCTCAAACAGTACTAGGGTCATCCAGGCTCTTATTACTGCAATAAAACACTGGCAGTGTGTGCTTGCTGACATGTTTAAAAGCCCTGGGGTTCTCTGAATGATAAATCATGAAGGGCTTTAGCTTGAAACCAGCAACATTCCCCCCAACAGAAGTGAAATTCTGTCCTTGAATGCCTTGAATCCGGGTATTGTTTGCGCCTCTTTGTGGATGTATGTCCGCTCAGGCATGCGCTTCCACAATAATCCAGTCTCATCCACATTGAATATTTGCTCAGGCAAATAATTCCCTTCCACAATCACCTCATCTTACTCCTCCTTAAAAGATTCGGCAGCACCAACATCGGCACTAGCTGCCTCTCCACTCACCTTAACATTGTGTAGACCGTAGCGTTTTTTAAATCTATCAAACCACCCATGACTTCCTGTAAAGGTTTGATCACATCTCCTGCCTGCTCCTTCAGGCTTTGGAACAGGCTTCTTGCTTTAGCCTGTATGGTTAGAAGGCTGAAGGGTACACGCTTCTGTATCTGGTCTTTTATCCATATCACCAATAATTTTTCCATATCGTGAATAGGACCTTGTCTTCTCTTTGATATTATAGTTCCCTTTATAGATGTTGTTCCTTTCACTACTTCACGAATACGTTCCTTGTCCTTCAGAATAGTGGATATAGTCGAGTGTGAGAAACCTAGGTCGTTTGAGATTGTTGCTACTGTTTTTTCATTCTCATGCTATGTTGTTATCTTCATTTTCATCTCAAAAGTAATTGCCTGTCTCCTTTTCTTTGGAACACCACCAGCACTCTCACTTTTACGCTTTCCAGTCATTATAAAGTCAATTAAATACGACAACGAAAGTTCACAGCGCGATCAGTATAAAATACGATAGCCAAACACCAACTAAGCGCTCCACTGAGTGAGTGTACCCACGAGGCGACCCGAGACGCGCCACCCTCTCGTCCGGGACGGAAAGGTTTCGGTATAGAAAATTCGCGCGTCATTTGAAAATATTTTTGGTCACGGCGGTCGCAGTCGTATGTCCCGACGGACATATGGTCAGAGCAGGTCGTAAGTACCAATAGACGTAAGTCCATGTGGTCGTAAGTCGGGGAGCACCTGTATATATTATACAGTAAAACCTCTGTATAATAGACTTTTCTCTGCTTATAATCCACTAAATGGGGGTTTCACCTCTAACGGCCCCTCGATATAATGGACTTTCACCTCTATTAAGTTCATTAGATGGATGTTTCACATCTAACTGACCCTCGATATAATGGACTTTCGTCTCTATATACTGCAGTCCGTTAAATAACGGTTAACTGTTTATTTATTTATTTTTTTTCAATCATCTCGTATAAGAATTAAGTTACAGGATTGAATGTTCCTTTTTGTATATATTCATTTTTTTTTTACCTTGTACAAGTATATATAGATTAATTAGTATTGTCACCTTAACCCCTACAGAGCTGAATACGGGTGACCAACTGACTAATAAAGATCATTAGTTCAGGATAGGTAAGAATTTATAGATCTATGCACTAAATATATTTCAGTGAATGATTTTTACAGGTTTATCCTCTATTTTATTTTATTTATTTATATTTATATTTATTTATATTTTATTTATTTATTTATTTATTTATTTTAGAGATGATGTACGGTTCGCATTTTGGCAGCAGTTACGATGTAGGTAGTGATGAGGCGGAGGGAGAGATTGGTTTATGGGCCTACAGAGGTCGCTTGGGTTCTGTCTTCCTCATTGACACTGCCAAAGAGATGTTTGTCAACCCCGGTAAAGAGGAAGATGGGGAGGAACCACCATTTTATCAAGCAGTTAGAGTGAGTATTAATTTTTTTCTCTATTTTGTTGTACACACACACACACACCCCGCTATACACTATCCATAACTAGTCAAATCCTTACCTTACCTCAACCATCTAGCACATTCAGATAAACTGTATTCATAATCCCCGACCTACAGTACTGTACCACATACATACACTTATGAGGCACTCTAGGGAAAAGAGACAAACATGCCAAGATCATTTAAATTGATATACTGTATTTGAGATATTCATTTGTGTTGATGAAAATTGAAACTTTATTCTTTAGTAATTGTTTATTTTTCATTAATCATATGACCAAGTATAGATCCAACCTGAGCAGGGAGTAGAACAGTGAACATTCCTTTGTTTACTTTAATGTTTGGTGGCAGTTCTTATTTTCCTGTTGTTTGACCAAGAAGCTATTGTGTTATTTAGTTATTTAACAAGTAAATCATATACCCTCAGGCAGCGCACTCGAGCATGATGAGGAAAGTGTTCTCCAATGACCGAGATGTGTCTGCTTTAGTGCTCTTCAACACTAGGGAGACCAAGAACCACATTGACCTCTCCCACGTGTATACATTACAGGATTTAGAGTGTCCAGATGCAGAGAGAGTCCTCGCGTTAGAGGAACTACTAACAAGTAAGTGCCGTATGGTGTACTACATGTAAAGTTGTATGTTCGTGTGTGTAGAAAACTTTCTTAATATGTTGAATATTAATGCCCCTTCTAACCAATCCTGAATCTGGATTATCCCTTAAACTGGATCCCATGTACGACTCGAGCGGCTGAACCGTCAGTGAGCACCGTACAGTACACACACCACACTGAAGTCCTGGTATCATACAAGACATGTCTTTGGGCACCACGTTAAAGATTCTGTTGAGGAAAATAAAAATACCCTCGGTTTAAAACACAATCCTTTCATCCTGAACTTACTAACAAAAGAATTTCTAATCTGACCATTATCCATCCTGATCCCATAACTGCTACAGCAACTCAACCCTCAATCCTGATAAGAATGTTCCACCAATACCTGCTCCACCTTCACACCACACCAGGCACCCACTCAACTTATCTACATTCACTATCTTCTATATTTTATATGATTGGTAGAGACCCATAGTCTGTCCCTTCTTTCATCTCACCTCTGGTTGTGTACATAAACTCCACAAATGTCCCTCTGAAGATGAATCTATATGTTGAGAAGAAATGTGTTAAGATCAGTAGGACAGAGTTTAAAGAACTGAAATTCGAGTACTCCCCTGTATAACTATTGTTGATAGCTTGCAAATGACATACTGTACAGTCCTGAACAAATTAAAGTCCCAAAATTCAGTACCCAAAGCAGTAGACACTGATGCATTATTCTGTCCATATATGCTTCGGATTCACAAGTCTGAATCTCAGGGTTCGTGGTTCAGGAGAGGCGGCAGGAATTTCTTTGAAGATTGTACAGTAATGACGATGACTTGTAACTTATGTTCTTTACCCCAGTGCCTGAGAAGTTGTTTGACACAACTTATGGCCACAGTACTGATGCCAGTCTGCAAGATGCTCTGAGCGTCTGCCAAAGTGTCTTGGAAAAATGGTATGTATCATATACTAGTGTACCTGTATTTGTATACTGTACGGGGGTATAGTGTTGGCTAATTTATACCATATAGCATAAAATGGGGAATCCATAAATACTCTCCTTAATTTGTTCTTTTTCTTTTATAAATGTGAAGGACTTTACCTACATATTACATTAAAACTACCATAAGAAATAGTCTCTAATTTGTAATTTTTGCAGGACGAGCCGACTGTCAGAACAGAATATCCTGTTGTTCACGTGCCGAGATGACCCCCACTCAGGTGATAGCCAGAAGCAGAGACAAGCCAGGAAGAAGGCCCAAGACTTGAAGGAGGCCCAGATTGAACTGGAGGTGCTACATATGGGAGAAAACTTTAATGTGAACAAGTTTTATAAGGTAAATACAGTATATGGTAGTTGACAACACGCTTTATAAGGTAATACAGTATTTTAGACCTAGCTTTATAAGGTAAATACTGTATCAGGTAGTTGACAAGTTTTATAAGGTAATACAGGATTTTAGACCAAGTTTTATAAGGTAAATACTGTACAGTGGTCCCTCGGTTAACGAGCACAATTCGTTCCAGAAGGTTGCTCATTAATAAAAATTTTTTTTAACCGAAACCATTGTTTCAATGGGTTTTTGGGTAATTAGTTCCAGCTCTCCGAAAATTACATACAAGCTAAAAAGAAATGCAGTAAAGTACACTTACTTTGAGGTGTGTATGTAGAAGGCTCCTGGTTGATGATGATGATGGGAATTAGAATGGGGGTGGAGGAGAAGGGAGAAGAGAAGGCTTTGGGGTGGAAGAGAAGTCACCCCATGCTGCCATTTCACCCATAAAATTTTAGTTCACTTGGTGTAATTCAAGATTTTTTTCTTTAAATCAACACTGCACTGCGCTATATATTATCAATATGTAAAATATATTTCACAATGATCAATAATTTGACTGGAAACCGAAAAAAAGCGTTTATGTTGAAGTCTAAAACAAGATGTTCTTACTCTGAACTGGTAAACAAACTGACGCCAAGCTTGGTCTGTTGAGTGGCTGTTTGGCGCGCAAAAAACTACCGGGTAGTTTCCTGTACTTCAATTATGTTCAATAATTGTTAAAATGGCTAAAAAATTTATATACAACTTTTAAAATTATTGAATAGTACAACCTTCTTAATATTTACTAAAATGGTAAGGAATTTAAGCCCTAAAACTGATTACTGTATTGGCGGACTAATACTATAGCTGGTGGGCAGCCAAATGCTGGCGAAAACATGTTGGGAAAAATTCGTAAGGAATTCGTTAACCGAGGGTTTGCTCGTTAACCGAAGTTAAGAATCTTATGGAAGGTAATTCATTAAACCGAGGCGCTCATTAACCGAGGGATCACTGTATATGGTAGTTGACAACAGTTTTATAAGGTAATACAGTATTTTAGAGCAGGTCTTACACTGTACAGTGAACCCTCGAAGATCCGGACTAAATGGGGGGACCACGTGTCCGAAAAAGCAGATGTCCGAATTTTCCGGCAAATAATAAATGATATAAGAAACCCCAAAAATACAGTACTAATGTAGTTATAAACAAATTAGCGTATATAAACCATGCATTTACCTATGATAACATGATAAGAAACATTGTATCATTACTAGAGTGAATGTAATAATATTACCACAAACAACAATTGTCAACTCTGTTTGTTTCCCACCTCCTCGGGCACCTGTGTCCAAGCAGCTGACAAGTCAAGCAGCGCCCATGGGCCTAAAATGTTCTTTGCTCTGGTTTGGGAATGTTTCTTAGGGAGGCTTCTTAGCCCAGAACCCCCAAATCTTTTGTCCGGATCTTCCGAAATCCAGATTCCCCGAGTCCGGATCTTCAAGGGTTTACTGTATTTACCATTTAGGGATTTTTTAACATGGTAAAAATAAATTAAATATACATTACATTGCTTGGGAGCCCCATAGAGCCTGCAAGGGCCTCAAGCACCCACCTTTGAGTTTGTTTTGATAAGGACAAGAGTGAAATTGAGACTAGAATTCTGTATGTCATGTTATCAGTACCCTGGTGTACTGTATATATGATTAAGTTGAGTTTGTGATAAAGATTTTTTTTTTTTTTTTTATGTTACCACTTTGGTATCAGTGTAACAATCATTCTCCATTTATTTATTTTATTTATTTTATCTTGGTAAGTAATCTGAAGCCATGCTAGATTAAGAGGAACATTTACATCTTCTTAATGTGTTATTGTTATATTACCATTTACTTTTAACCTTTTGTGTATGGGGTCGCCTCTGAGCTGAATAACACCGTGTGGCATTAGCTAGGTATATTAAGAGTGACGTCCCAGTGATGTAGAGGTTAGTCATGGTGTTGTATCCCCGCTGTACAGAACAGACCCTCTGACTTGTGGGACCCCTATTCACTTGGAGGTTATCATCAGATTTAAATATTGATTACAGGAGAAACAAGTTTAATAGTATTACTTTATAACCTTTTCTCTTAACAGGATTTGATAATACTTGATGTGAGCGAAGACAACGAGGACTCGCAGGGCAAGATCACCTTAGCAGATCCCACAAGTCGGTTTGAGGAATTGTTGGAGCGAGTGAGGCGTTTGGACCACAAGCAGCACACCGCTGAACGAGTCATGTTTACTCTGGCTCCCGGGGTTGAGATGTCAGTCGGTGTTTACCCGGCAGTTAGGTGAGACCTTTATACAGTGGTCCCTCGGTTTAAGAGATTTTGGTTAACGAATTACCTCCCATAAGATTCTTAAATTCGGTTAACGAGTTTCTTATGAGCTGACCTCAACAAGTTTTGGCTTGCACTGGGCGGTCAACCAGCTGTAGTATTAGTCCGCCAATACATTAATCGGTTCTAGGGCTTAAATTCCTTACTATTTTAGTAAATATCAAGAAGTTTATACTATTCAATAATTTTAAAAGTTTAATATTCAATTTTTTAGTCATTTTAACAATTATTGAACATAATTGAAGGTAAAGTGACTAGTTTAATGCGCGCCATCCAGCCTCTTAACACAGCAAACAGGCGTTAGTCTCTCTCTCTTTTCACTGGAGGTAACATCTTGCTTGAGACTCTCTTCAACTAAATGCTTTTTTCTGTGTTTCCAAGCAAATTATTGGTCATTGTGAAATTTATTTTACATATTGACAATATATAGTGCACTGTTATTTCAAAGAAAATATTCTTTATTTACAACAAGTTTAACTTTGAAAAGCACATGTTGACATTGTTTGAATCCAGCATGGGGCCTAAGAGATCAAGAAAAGTGATTTCAATCCAAACCAAGCAGGAAATCATAAAAAAAAAAACATGAACAAGGCATTAGAACAAACGCGCTATGCAAAGAATATGGCATGTCGACATCAACTGTGTCCACAATTCTTGCTCAGAAAGACAAATTTAAAGACGTGAAAGTGAGAGACAAATCTACAAGAGTGTTTAAAAGTAGATCCCGAATTGCAGAAACTGAGAGGTTACTTATCATCTGGATTAGGGAAAAACAGATGAAAGGTGATTCAGTTTCTACTGAATTCAATTGTGAAAGAGCCAGGGAGATTTACGAACATTTAAAGACAGATCAACCTGGTTCTTCAGGCACAGAATTTGAAGATTTTTGGCCCAGCAAAGGCTGGTTTGAAAAATTTAAGAAAAGAAGTGACATTTTCAGTGTTGTTAGGCATGGTGAAGCTGCTAGTGCTGATAAGGAAGGGGCAGCAAAGTTTTTAGATGAATTTAAAAAACTGATGGAAGAAGAAAATTATCTTCCACAGCAAGTGTTCAATGTGGACGAAACTGGGCTGTTCTGGAAAAAGATGCCCAAAAGAACATTCATCACCAGAGATGAAGCCTGTTTACCTGGGCATAAACCCATGAAAGACCGTCTCACTCTATTGCTTGGTGCCAATGCTTCAGGGGATTTCTGACTGAAGCCTATGCTTGTCTACCACTCTGAAAACCCCAGGGTGTTCAAGCAACAGAAAGTGGTAAGAACAAAGCTTGGAGTTTATTGGAAGTCCATCCGTAAGACATGGGTGACAAGACCGCTCTTTAATGAATGGGCTGTTGATGTGTTTTGCCCTTCTGTCAAGAGCTACCTAACCACCAATAAACTCCCTTTAAAGGCTCTTCTCCTCATGGATAATGCTCCTGGTCATGACCCTGACCTTGCCAGAAATTTGGAGTATCAATTTGACTTTGTGAAAGTGTTGTTTTTGCCTCCAAACACTACATCAATCATACAGCCAATGGACCAGAATGTGATCAGCAACTTCAAGAAGTTGTACATGAAGAAAATGTTTAGGAGGTGTCATCAGGCAACTTCCATTGATCCTGAACTAACACTGAAACATTTCTGGAAGACACAATTCAACATCCTGGAGGCTGTAAAATTGATTGTGTCATCATGGCAAGAAGTCTCCACTAGATCCCTCAATTCTTCATGGAAAGCACTGTGGCCATCAGTAGTCCATGATTTTGAGGGATTTGAGGAAGAAACAGAGTTGGACCAGAAGATTGTGTCCATTGGTCAGTCATTGGGCCTTGAAGTGGAGGAGGAGGATGTGGAAGAGCTTGTGATGTCTCATGAGGAGGAACTTACTCCTGATGACTTGAAGTAACTGGATGAGATGTTACAGGTAGAGGCTGACAGTGGTGAGGAGGAAATTGAAAGTGATGACTATATGTCCGCTAAACAGTTGAAAGATGTGATTTACTACTTGGAGAAGTTCAGGGAACTGGCTTCAAAGCACCAAGAAGTGGAAAAAACTGAACTAACTTTGTGTCATGTTGAGGACTCAGTGGTCTCCTTTAAACACAAGTTAATGGTAAGGAGGACAGATGCCCCACAGACCACAATTTACACTTTCTTCAGTAAAAGGCAGAGGGAACAAGATGCTATCCCTCAGCCTTCCACTTCAAGGAGAGAGGATGTTCATGGTGGAGAATCTGTCAGTCCAGAGGTTCCTGACATTTTCATGGAAGGTGACTCACCTTCCAAGAAGCAGTAAAATGCTTCTCCTCCACCTCCACTTCCTTCTCTTCTCCCTTCTCCTCTTCCACCTTCCACTTCAAATTCACATCATCATCATCATCATCATCATCATCATCCAGGAGCCTTCTACATACACACCTCAAAGTAAGTGAACTTTTCTACCGTTTTTGTTGAATTTAGGCAATTTTCGGTGAGCTGGAACCAATTACCCCAAAACCCATTGAAACAATGGTTTCGGTTAACGAGCAACCTGCTGGAACGGATTGTGCTCGTTAACCGAGGGACCACTGTAGTTTTAATTAAACTTTTTGAATACTTAGAAGGTTATTATAATTTATACTGTTTTTACTACCATAAGTTTCATCATTCTTCTTGAAGTTGACTGAGTTATGAGATGAAACAAATGAGAAGGTAATTTAGTTTGACATTAATTGCCACTATTTACACAGGAAAATGAACAAGCCGTATAAATCAAAAATGTGGCAGGAAACCAACGAGGAAGTGAAGTCCGTGAAGAAATTAAATTTACGGGTACGTGTGAAGCCTTATCATGTCTTGAATGTTGAGGGTTATAAATAGTGTTGGATGACCTTGATAGATTTAACTTTATTCATGGCGTAATTGTTCTTGTTACTATCTACTATTACTGTATACACAGGATAATACGTGGAACATATTTTTTGCAACCTTTTAATATAATATTTTTGCCAACATAATAACACAACTCAAAGGTCTATCTTCGTCACAAGTCCTATAGTCAGGTTGATAATGTACTGTATATGGTTCAGTCCTTCATTTTGAACTTTGTATATCATTCTGTCAGGATTATTGGGGTGAATTAAACGATACCAATTCATTTCAGAAAACTGGAGAGCCGATTTCATCAGATAACATTTTAAAGTACCAGGTGTATGGCCGCAAGGAGGTAAGTTTAACATTGGTTAGTATGTACAGTACAGTCCCCTTCACTAGTGTGTTTACAGGGGCTCATCATCTAAACATTACACTAATCATAAATTGAGATTTGTTTTAATATTGGTTTACTTTAATTCCTTAGTTTGATTATTATTGCAAGTTTCCTTCTGTCAAATGTAAACAAACACAGGACTGTCACACTGCATGAAACCTGACAAGCCCCTGTAAACACACTAGTGAAGGGGACTGTGCATGTGTAATTAAGTGGTGGGAAGTTTCTCACTTTAAAGGGCTAATGAGACATAATAGCTTTATCAATATGTAAATCACTAGCTGGTGATCAAGGTATATACGGCACATATGCCCAAGTTATATCCTTTCTGAGATGGAGACTCAAAATGACCTTAAATTCAACATCATGCAGTACCAGTAAACAGAAAACTAAAGTTGGTGATATACAGTACATTGGAAAGGTTCTTATTTCTCACAACTGTGTCCTGGGTTCAATCCCTGGCCCAGGACTTATGTGAGAAGGGTTTCCTCCAGGTAGTATAGTTTTCTCCTGTACTATCACTAAACAGTAAACATTAAAGTAGTAAACAACAGACCACCTGCCCAGATGGCTGGTGAGTGAGCTGATAACTGGTGAAATGACTAATAAGTGATGCATGGGTTCATCTCATTTGACATCTGATGTTACACTGTTTTGTGATAAAAGATATTCTTGGTGACATACTGGTGGGTCTTTTTTGTACTCATTTTGTATCTGTTATATTAGAAAGTGTAATATTTTGTATGTAAAGTGAATACTGTATCATATTGTAGTATTTTGTATTTTAAAGATTATACAGTTTTCTATGCCATGAGCTCATTTAAGTTTCAGAACTGTTTATGACATTCTTAGCTGTATTTATGCTTGTTATAATAACCATTTACATGCAACAGTTATTCCCATGTCATTTGTAATCTGACAGGATGAAGTGAGCAAACTCAAGCAGGTGTATGATGCTGGTATACACCTCCTGGGGTTCAAACCAATCAGCAGTGTCAAGCTATATTACCACGTCAGGTCAGCAGACCTCATATACCCTGACGAAAAGTCAGTTAAAGGTAAAGTGATCACTTACTGATTACTGTAATGTGAAAATAATCAGTTTGAGTAATTTTCATGTTTATATTGCAGTTAAGATATTACTACTGTTAATGCATAATGAAAGTCTAACAATTTTAGTTTTGTGCAGGTAGCACCAAAATGTTTGCAGCCCTGTTGGAGCGTTGTATAGCAAGAAAAGTGGTAGCAATAGTGCGCTTTATTCCCCGTAAAGGAGCAACAGTGTCATTGGCAGCGTTGGTGCCACAAGCAGAGAAACTTGATAACAAGAATTGTCAGGTCACTCCACCAGGCTTTGTTGTGTCACATTTACCATTTGCTGGTAAGTTACTCTGGCTCCAGTCATCAGCCCACATAATTGTACCTGATGGTAAGAGAGGAGATGAAAATTAGATGTGTGATGTCACTTTTGATTTCAGTTATGTACAGACATTTTGGCTTTGATTATTGGCTGTTATATTTCCATTCTTGCTATTTAAACAGGCACTATAGATGTTCAACACTGAGAGACCAACTGTATTCTGTGGAGGAAGATGGAAGCACTTGTGTATGGGTCATAGAACTGTATCTGGTTCACAGTGGTAGGATGAACATGGGTATTTCATAAAGCTGGGCTGTGAGGGTGAGGGAACATGCTGGGATAGGTCAGTTACTGTATTATTTTTGTGTTGAGGGCTGAGCTGGCCACCAGTCATGTCACTCCTTCACCTAAAGTAATCCCTCACCTGGGTTTTACAACACCACAATTTATGGGAAATGACAGTAAATATATATTGGGCTTCCTTCTCTTGGCTCAGCCTCCACAAGATGTTGCGAGTGTTAAATGGAGAAATTAAATGTTCCTTAAAGACAGTAAAGCTCACAAGTGGTGTTCATTGATGTTATATCCCAGATATTAAATAAATTTAGTCAGGTGTTACTGAAGTAACAGTTTGACTTAATTAACATTAAAATAATAATAATATTATTATTATTACTTTTATTCGGGCCTGGGGACGAACATATAATAATAATTCATAGTAAATAAAATTTATAATAAATAATACAAAATTGAAAATAAAATAATAATGATGATAATAATAATAACACTAATAATAATAATAAAGAACTATGAAGAAATACAAAAATGAAAAAAAAATTAAAATTGAGAAACAATATATGTATGTTCTGTTGTCAGTAGTAAAAAACAATTGAGACCCTGTAATTACATGTAAATGAGGCAGAAAGTCAGATTAGCAACCTGGGACTTGGTCACATGGCAGCAGGGTCTACCATTAGATAATACATTATGCTTCCAATATCTTCCCAAGCGGTAGCACCTCCCTGTTTGATAGCTAATGCAGTACGATATGTTTAGTTTTATTGTATGTTTATATTGCTTTTAACATTTGTTACTGTGCTGCATCATCATATATGACATCTTCTCGTGGTAAAGTAATGGTTTTTAACAGATGATTTCTGCAACATAAAACTGAAGAATGCAACCCGTGCCACTCCTGACCAAGTGGATGCAGCCAAACTAGGCATCAAGAAAAATTTTTTCAAGTATTCACCGCAGGATTTTAACAACCCTGATATTCCGACACACCTGCGCAACATTGAGGCCTTGGCCCCCAATAGATCCCAGCTGGACCCGGTGATTGACCTCACCAGTGAGTTGACTGTTACCCTTGACCTAGATAGTGCTCATACATGAACAGGAAATATCTTTAAATGGTCATTGTCAGACTGTATCATGAAAAAGAAAATTATTGGTTCACCTGAAGATCAGACACCCTAATGCTACCTGGAGGGGTTAAGGTAGGTAAGCTTTAGTGTATTTAATCAGGTGAAATAATCTGGGGCATCTGATCTTCAGGTAATATACATTGAGTTTATATGTATAGTATAAAAGTTAAAGAACAGTTATTGAAATATTAACCCTTTAGGAGATAATGGCTCCCCTCAGCTGAATAAAATAAGCCAGAATAAAATACCTAAGGAATATACTTGTAAAGGCTTAATGAACAATTATTTTTGCAGTACTTGACCATGAGAACATCAAGAAGGTGGCCGGCAAATTACTTGAGACCTTCCCTCTTGTGACCCAAAGTGCATTACCAAGAAATGGCCAGCTGCCACCTCCTCCTCAGGCTCCAAGAGAGCAAAGTCTGACCCAGTGAGAATTGATGTTGCGGCCATGACCAAGGTCGGCAAGGTTAGTAAGGGTTACACACACTTGTGTACATAGCCTCATTATATTAAGACTTCACCTCTATTATATAGTAGACAAGCTGCTTTGAATTTATTTATAGATTCTGGAACAATAAAAAATGTGCAAAACGTAAGTCAGAATTTTTGGCTGATAACAGAGATGTGATATTATTAATGTATCCTCCATGAATACTGTATCATGATTATACCAGTGGATATATTTTTACCACCAACAGGCTCACACACTGACTGTGGACGTCCTGAGGGCCTGGCTACAGATACGCGGAATTTCAATCAATGCGAAGAGGAAAGCCGATCTCGTACTAGATGTCATAGAACAAGTTGATCTGGAGTCATTGAGAACACACAATGCATAGCTACAGGAGTTAAAACTATCCCAGGAGTTACTGCCAGGAAGGAAGTGATTTGCTGTGATTATAACTCCTAGTGGCTGCCATAATCCATTATTTTGATACTGTAATTGAATTTTCTTGTTCAATTGTTCGCATAAAATTTACCGGTACAAAAGAACAGAAATAAGTAAATAATAACAATGTAGATAACTCGTATGTGCTATAAAACTTTAATAATATCCAGCCTTGAAGTTAATAAGAAAACAATTATTAATAATATTTTACAGTAATTGTGGTCCCTCCATAAGGTGATTTAGTTAGTGTCACACAAATATTCATTTACCAAACTTATATACAGTAAAGATTTACCCTAAAGTGAAAATAAATACTAAAAACACAAATGAAATTGTTACTTCTATACTGTTAAATATTGCTAGTGTAGGGTAACCAACACATAAAGAATAGTGCACTTAACACTAAACAACAAATTTATTGAATCAATAGTTCTTCAGTAATGATCGGGGTTCCATTTTCTACCTCAAGGATCATATGCTGTGAGATTGGCATAGGTAGTGAAGTGTGTATAGAAGGTACAGTAAAACCTCGATTAACCGACCACATGGGGGGAAGGGGCCGACGGATAATCCGAAAGGTCGGTAAATAGTACATGAAGTCTACGGAAATAAAACATACATTTTCAACATACCTTTCCCTAACTTACCTCATTTAATTCCCCCTATTCATTTTTGTTCATTTGCCAATCATATTTCAATAGAATTTGCTTTAAAACATTAACCACTTAAGTAAATAAATATGAACCAGCACAGAAACTGAATAAAAAATGGAAAAGTCAAAGAACATACCGTATGTCATCACAAAAATTGTGACCAAGTCCCAGGTTGCTGATCTGACTTTCTCCCTCATTTACACACGATTGCGGGGTCTCAATTGCTTCTCTTACTATTGACAATACTACATACATATATTGTTTCTCACTCTTGATTTTTTTCCATTTTTGCATTTATTTATGGTTCTTTATTACTATTATTATCATTATTAATATTATTACATTATCGCCCCCCAAGCCCCGATGTAGGTCAGTGACCTGTGCCTGGGTGGGCTAATCCCTGTATTTTTTTTTGGGGGGGGGGCGATTGATGGTTAATCTGAATGTCGGTTAATCGAGGTTTTACTGTACTCTCTCTCTCCCTATAAATCTTTGTACCTTATTCATCTTAGGAGTATTGAGATGCTTCGGAGGCAAGAACATGACAAGTGTTAAGGCGGTGGCTTGAGATGACTTCATTGTACCATTACACTTATTTCAAAATTACTAAAGCTACGTACTTATTCTCCTCCATACACATACATGTTAAACTTCTCGCACAACATAGACAGAGTATTGAGGTAGTCTTTGCTTTACTTTAACTCATTTGGGTCTTAATTTTGTATGACTATGTTAATTATTCTTAATTTTGTACCGTTGTTGATGTATCGAATATATTAAGCCATTCCATGTTATATTGTCAGTACAAATAGACTAGTATTATAGTGTTCCTTCATAACTGATTTTTATTGCTGGCTGGTGTGGAATTTTTTCTTTTGTGAATTTGTCCTCGATTGGATTTATTTTGATGTTTCTGTTTAATTATTTTACTTTTAAGTCAAGGGAATATTATGTTTTTACCTGTCATGTAGCTACCAGGCACTGTAGTCTACACCATAAACAAGACCAGAGCCAATTCTAGTACTTTTGGTTCATATGAAAATTAGCCTCTAAGTGGTCACCTAAAGTTGTTCCCAGTTTAACCAGTCTTGAGTTTAACCCTTTGGATGAGGATTTAGTTTTCAAGCAACATTCTCAACCAGTGTCAATTCTCCTGTGAAATATCATATTGGTAACGTGCTTTTTTTCTACTTTTCTTTTTGATCAAGGACAAACTACAAAGTTTCCATATATGGCAATAATATTTTTTTATGAATCATTTTGTCAACAGAAGAATAAATATGGAGAATTGAATATTAAGTCCTTATGGATTCCTCTCACACACACACACACACACACACACACACACACACACACACACATCCTTGACCACCGTAGGGTCAAAACCTATTCAGGCGCTGTCCCCCTTGGCCAATGTTGGCCCATTTCGCATGACCCTCTCCCCGACACAATCTCACCACCGGGATATCTACATAATCAAAAGTGACAATTTCGTTTTGGAAAGAAGTGGAATTTGTGATGAACAGTGTTTAAGCCAGTTAAATCACCACTAGACATTACCAGTGAGATAAGCACCCCTGGGAACTGACCACCATCTTCTGACCAGGAGGTGCTACACAGTCCACCCTGGGAACAACAGAGGGCCGGCCTGTTTTACTCTTGACTACGAGATAACACATCACCGAGCAGAGTGAGGTACTGTGACCCCACCCCACACCACACGGTATCTCCATGACCTCGTCAGGTCCTTCATATCAACACCCGAGGACGAGTCACTACCACATGAACGCAACACCACCCAGTATCTCAATGACCACGTGAGGTCCTTCATATCAACACCCGAGGACGAGTCACTATCACGGGAGGTCCTTCATATAAACCCCCGAGGACGAGTCACTGTACCACATAAACGCAGCACCCAATGTGTCTCTGACCACGTGAACCGGCTGGTTAATTCCAAGTTAAACAGGTTGGTACACACGTGTTATATTGGGCTTCAGTTACGAAACCCTATTGAAGTTTCTTCTTTTATTAAAAAGTATTATTTGTATAATTCCCGAGTGTAGATCAACCGTAAGTTCCACTATTTATGAGTGTGGTGAGAAAGGGACGGCGTCTATGTAACTAGACGTGAATCAACGTCTGTTCGATATTAGTTTGTGAGCGAGACTGACTAAGGGCGTCCAATGGTGTGTGCTTAGGTAATTGCTGACCTATGGTCAAATGGGCTTCACCCTCTTGGGGAAGCGACCCTTCACGTGATCAGTTCATGTCCTCCTCATAGTTAGTGGAAACTTACAGGGGATGAATTTGAATGTAAAGAACCCATTTATATAATACTTAATGTTGATGAGACAGGGGCCATTACACACGTGAGGTCCTTCATATCAACACCCAAGGACGAGTTACTACACCACATGAACACCAGACCACCCAATGTCTCCATGACCAGTCCAGGCCTGGACCATCACCTGTAAACTATAATAATTTGTATGTTCAATTCATGTTCCTTCTTTCAGTAATGAAAGCTTTTGTTAAACGACCCACCCACATTGGACCAAAATGACTTATTACTTACAAAGACATGGGTCTTTGTATGTAATAAGTAATTTTTGTCCAATGTATATTTTCAGCCTTCGGGTTGCCAAACTTTTTCAATAAACAAATTATTATTATTAATATTACACACACACACGTCACAGGCTATTGATGAGCAACTGATGATCACTTCATGCTTACCCATGTATTTCTTAACATTACTAACTACACCGCCAAAAACCAAGATGGCTGCGTGGTTTGTCTCCAACTGCATCTCTCACTCCAGGAGGGAGAAACTAGTCAGGTTTATGCAGAAGTTTATTAAGGTGTGTATGTTAAAGTTTGCCCCTTAAATAGATACAAAGAAAGTGGGTTCAAATTTCCTTTTAGGTGATAACTAAAACATATATTTTCTACCAAATCTTATGTTAAATTTATTCTTACAATTAAAATAAACCATGAGAGCTAATAATTAATTCACTTAATCTATTGCCAAATAACACCATTTAATTGGAAAGTCATGAAGGATTCTTAATAGCTTGTGGTTTGATTTTTATTCTTCGTTTCTGATTATCTCACTTGAGCAATGGCAGAGAGGTCGTGTGCCTGGCGGAGTATGTATGAACCTCAAGTGGATGTGTTCCCATGTTTATATTAATAGCTTTAAAAAGTTTCTCACGAGGTTAACATTATTTTTTAAAAACCTTAATGTCCCTCGTTGTTCTTTGAGTAATCTCTCTTGTTTTCTTTTTCGTTTCCCGTCTTATTTTTTCACTAATAACACTGTAGTGGATCTCTCCCCTACAACAGCGTAGCCGTATCCCATAGCAACGGAATTCAACCACGGCGAGGTTCTCCGGGGTCGCCACCTGCGATACTCTTCCCACAACTGACAAGCCTAGGCGCACTCCAATGAGACATATCTAAGCAACCGGCGAGTTTCTCACGGGGGTCGCCACCTGCGTGCTTGCATCCGGGTTTACTTCCGGCAGCCGTGTATATAAGCTCTCAGTCTCGTCATTGAGATTCATTCTACCCTAAGTTCCTGAACACCAACACCTCCTCTGAGCAAGCTCCTCGCTGACCAGCTCTCATTCTACCCTACGTTCCTGAACACGCAACACCTCCTCTGAGCAAGCTCCTCGCTGTCCAGCTCTCATTCAACCTGGAGGCCAGCAACACACACCATCTCTAACGAAGCTCCAGCACGCTACTCACCCAACAGGTCCTCTGTGCAAGCTTCTCACCACACGGCATCTCCAGCACCAGACTGTTTTGTATATAATATATTTTATATAAGAAAACCACCACCTTAGAGTTTCCATCCATCCCATCCTGAGTGCAAGACAACATCCGTAACCCTACAACACTGCCGTTCAGTTTCCACGAGTATGATGCATTATTAATTATTAGTTATTTTCCTGCCTCCAAAGTGGTGTTGAGGATCAGATGAAACAAAGTAGGTACTGTAAGAATTTGTAATACCTTCACTCATAATGACGTAGGTAAATGACACATTCACAGTATTAGTAAACTGTTTTGTGGTGGACATAAGTTTATCTGTCTCTTAATATTTAATCTATCTTTCTACTCCTACCTAATATAGTGTCTTATATCAATCACCTCACCTGACGTGATCATGTAGGTACAACGTGGTGCCGGTGGTGTTGGGACTCGGGGACTACGCCAGCATCACGCCACCTCACTCTCACATCAACGTCCTCGACTTCGAGAGCTTAGATAGCCTCACCGACTACCTCAAGTATCTCGACTCCAACGACACAGCTTATAATGAGTACTTTAGGTAAGGAAAGGTTAATGACATGAGGGAGTAAAGTAATGAAATTGAAATGTTTACAAATCAGAATATTGCTTGTACAGGTTTACGTATGCAAGGTATTAACTCACAGGCTTAACTCAGTCGTTTATTAATGATCCCATAAATCATCTGAAAGGTTGTAGCGTACTGTCGTGGCAGAGTTGTTGGGTCTCTTATTTAGCCTCACAACGTACGTGCAAATATCTCCAACACTCGGGATTGGTAGAAATAGAAAAATCACCAATCACATTTCAAATGCCCTATATATTGTTGCACCTTCAGTCAGCCAAGAGATACTAAGTCGGGCGAAGCTTGCTCCACGAGATTTTATAACAAGAAACTTACAGAGGCGATATATATATGGAGCTCGAAGATATTGCTTGCTGAGTGGCGGTAAGTAGAAAAAGGTAGCTGAAGAGGCCAGGTGAGGTCTTATATAACACTTGATGGTATGGCTTGATAGTAGGCCCTTTGTTCCAGCGTCGTTGGTGACCTGAAGCAGCCCGGCCACGAGGATCGCGGTGGAGGTCACTTGGGGGGTGGGGAGATCAGCCAGTCAGCAACACATAGCGTTTTGAGGGAACCTTTCTAATACTCCCCTTCTCCGGGCGCGACAGGGATGTTAAGCCGGGTTACGTCCACATTTATACCGGACGTTATCTCGCAATACCCTTCTCGGCCGCTCTTGATTGACAACTCTGTCTAGTGACACAGAACCTGTGGGGAATCAGGGGGGAAAGGGTTTTGAATTAAAGTGCAGGCAATT